AGGGTACTTAGGAGTTTAAGTTGGGGTGGGGTTGGTCTCATGGTACTTAGAAGTTTAAGCTGGGGTGGGGTAATCTTAGGGTACTTAGGAGTTTAACCTGTGGTGGGGTGATCTTAGGGTACTTGGAGATTAAGGTGAGGTGGGGTTGGTCTTAGGGTACTTAGGAGTTTAAGCTGGGGTGGGAGGATCTTATGGTACTTAGGAGTTTAAGCTGGCTTGGAGTTAGTCTTAAGGGAAATTAGGAGTTTAAGATGGGGTGGGGGGATGTTAGGGTACTTAAAAGTTTAAGCTGTGGTGGGGTTGATCTGAGGGTACTAAGGAATTAACCTAGAGTGGGGTTGGTCTAAGGGTACTTAGGATTTTAAGCTGGGGTGGGGGCGATCTCAGGGTACTTAGGAGCTTACGCTGGGGTGATGGTGATCTTAGGGTACTTAGGAGTTTAAGCTCAGTGGGAGAGGTCTCAGGGTCCTTAGGAGTTCAAGCTGGGGTGAGGGTGATCATAGGGTACTTAAGAGTTTAAGCTGGGTGGTGTTTTAGCTTATGATACTTAGGAGTTTAAGCTGGGGTGGGGGTGATCTCAGGGTACTTAGGAGTTTAAGCTGGGTGGTGTTTTAGCTTATGGTACTTAGGAGTTTAAGCTGGGGTGGGGTTATCTCAGGGTACTTAGGAGTTCAAGGTGGGGTGGGGTGATCTCAGGGTACTTAGGAGTTTAAGCTGGGTGGGGGGATCTTAGGGTACTTAGGAGTTTAAGCTGGGTGGGGGGGATCTTAGGGTACTTAGGAGCTTAAGCTGGGTGGCTTTGATTTCTTTTTTTAGTAGACGCATGTTCTTAGGGAGACTGTGGGGAGCCACTTTGAATCATTTGTGCTTTTCTTCCTGGAGCAGAGAGGCTTTGACCAGTCACTGTATCTCATAGTGACCTGGACATTCTCAGGTCCAAGAAGTTTGAGGACATGTCTTCAGATGTAGGCGTGTCACCCCATGGATTGAGCTACATTCACCTGTTCCTTTGTGACATTACGCCTGTGCCCTGTTTGGGCTGGAATGTTCCATGGAAACTTCCTTTGTGTGTCCCCTTCTCATGCTCTGTCTTTGGGTGTGGCCCTCCTAGGTGTCAAGCAACCTGCTGACAGCAGACATCAGGAAGCTGCACTCAACCCCCTGACGCCTGACCCCTTGCCTCATTTGAATGCCTTGTCCTCAATAAAAGGGTTTAGCATTCTCTCTCTCTCTCTCTCTCTCTCTCCACAGACCCCAAGGTCAGAGGAACCGTCCCAGGACCCAAAGAAGAAAGTTATCTCTGCCTCTTGTGAGATTATTTCTTGTAGCCCAGTTCACCTGGAGTGACCCAAAGTGTTTTAGTTGTGGGGAACATGAGAGGAAAGTTAAGCAGCGTTGCCTTAGAGTGGAAACTTTGGAACTGCTAGATAAACAGACAGTAGACCAATGGAACAGAATAGAAGGCACAGGGACAAACCCACACAGTACAGTTATCTCCTACTAGACAAGGTGATGCATAGGTTCACTGGAGAAAAGATAACCTCATCAACAAATGGTGCTGGGAAAGTGGAAAGCCACCTGTAACAAAATAAAATTAATCCCTATCTCACCTGCCTGAAACTCAAAATGGATCAAAGACTTAGGCACAGAGATCCTGCACCTACTGGAAGATAATAGGCCACATCTTCACCATGTTGGCCTGGGATCTGGCTTCCTCAACAAGGTCTCCAAAGCACAAGAAGTAAAGTCAAGAATCAAATAATGGGATGGATTTAAACTAAAAAGCTTTATTTCAGCAGAGAAACTATCAATAATGGGAAGAGAGAGCCTCCTGATTGGGAGAAAATTCTGTGCACCTCAGAAACAGCATTAATATCTAGAATATATAAATAATTCAAAAACCTTAACACCATAATACAAAAATACAATCAATGAATGGGTTATGGAAATCTACAGCCTCTTTACAGTAGAAGAAATATATAATTGATCAACCATGATATGAGAAAATGTTCAATATCTCTAGCAATTAGAGAAATGTGAATCAAAACTACTCTAAGATGTCATCTCACCCAGTCAGAATGGAAATCATCAAGCACACAGGCATCAATAAGTGTTGGCAAGGATGTGGTGAAAAGGATCACCTGGTGCTTCCATCCCTAGCTTTTTTAGGAATCTCCATACTGCTTTCCAGAGGGATTGCACCAATTTGTAGTCCCACCAGCAATGTTGAGTGTGTATATCACCTGAGGAGTGTTTGTGTCACTAGAGGAGTGTGCACGTCACTAGAGGAGTGTGCAAATCACTAGAGTAGTGTGCACGTAACTAGAGGAGTTGCACGTCACTGGAGGATTCTGCACATCACTAGAGGAGTGTACACATCGCTAGAGGAGTTGTGCACATCACTAAAGGTGTGTGCACAGGAGTAAGGTGTCTACATATCATCACAGGAGTGTGCCCATCCGTAGAGGAGTGTGCACATTAACAGAGAGTTGTGCTCACTGGTTCTGTGGTCCAACAGCCTCTGCAGGGTGGGGAGAACCAGAGGCCACTGCCATCACATACAAACCGGCTACTACAGCAAGGACAAGGTAATCAACCCCGGCTGCAGCGTAGGACAGGCCTGGTTGAAATGCAGCCTGCACTTCTTGTTCACGAGCTCCTTTTCTGACCAGTTCACCCTCTAAACAGAGAAGATGCAGCTGGATTCTAATCTAACGTGGCACCAGTACTTCCCACAGGGCTGAATGCAGGACCAGGTCTTCCTGGCTCGTCCTTGGGGCAGGTTGGTCAGCCTCTTTGGCCTGAGCAGATGTGCTCCTGTGTGGAGGCAGTGTGCAACCCTGAGGCCAGGTTGTCTTCCTCTCCCTCTCAGGACCTGGTGGCCCACTGCTGGTTCTTGAGGAGTGCACTGGCTGGCCTTGTCCCCAGGGAGTCTTGGCCGGGCAGCGTCTGCTCCTGCAGGACAAATGGCCCAGGGAGGACACCCCAGGGTCCTGCGTGGGAGGTGGGTTGAAGTCCAGGTTATAGACCCTTCCCAAGGAGGGTGAGTCTGACCTCAGCTGAGAAGGTCTGTAGGTGTTTCCCATGGAGTGTTCAAGTTGACCACTAGATGGGGTCTCAGGCTTGGTGACCCTCAGACACATGTGCTGTTTAGACTGTCCACTCTTTCTTCCAGCATTTACTCAGGATGGAATCATTTCTTTTCTCATCTGGAAGTAAAATCGACAAAGACAAACCATGCATTTTGGATTCCAGCACGTTTTCCTGTGTTCACCTGGTGTCTCAGCTGCTGGGGGAGGCTGGTCACACCACACCTCAGTGGTCATCTTCACTCCAGGAGTGAGACCCCATAACACCTGTCAGAAATGCAGACATGAAACTTTCCATGGTCATCTGAGATGGTCAGGGGCACATCACATCTACAGAGCTGGATCTCCACTGCAGGGACGGTCCTCTCTCCATGTGAAGCAAGTGCAGACCCACCAGGCTTGGTGGAGGCTCCTGCCCATGGGCATGGGGAGGGCAACTGTGGGATGCCCACTCGGGGCCTGGCACTGCACGTCCAGCTCAGGACCCTGCAGAGGGGAGGCACACACACTGCAAAGGGAGAGGGACTCTGAGAGCTGGGCAGGCGGGCCAGGGTCTGCCCATGGACAGTAGCTTCCACTCCCAGCAATATCTTGAGATGATGAAGTGAGACAGGGACCCAGCCAGTGCAGGACATCCTGTGCTCAGGTTCCCAGGACCAAGCACAATGCTGTCCTTGACAGAGTCAGCACCTGGTGTAGGGGGAACCAAGGACAGCAGCATTCAGGACACTGGACATTTCCTCAATGCCGTAGTCTGGCTGGGCACAATTCAGGAGCCACTTGTCAAAAGAAATTAACTTTATTTTTAGAACCACACACACCAAACCACACAGCTCCTCAGGAAAAACCTTCAGAGCCCAACTGCCACCACCGGCTTCCCACAAGCCTCTCAACCTCCCCCACTCATCCTGCTCTTGAGGCTGATTGGCTGGGCCATGTGGGTGGAGCCAAAAATGTCCCCCAATGAGCAGCTCTGTGGTCTGAAAGGGCGGGGAAACAGCCCAATAAGCATCACCACAGAGTAGCCAATCAGTTGGCAGCTAGAAGTTTGCTGGGGCCGCTGTGAGCCAATCATCAGCTGGCAGCTGGAGGTTAGCTGGCAGCTGGAAGTTTGCTGGGGCCCCTTCAGCTGTGGCTCTCAACACCTCAATATGATTTTCCCAGTCCTTGACCTCAGGTACCTGTCCTCATGTTTGTGTGTTTGGAATCGTTCCTACCTTTCTGATTTCTGGGGGTGTCTGAGGGGTGGGCATGCAGCCTTCCTGCAGCACCTGGCAGAACATGGTGGTGAGGCCAATGGCCCTTGCACAGGCACCAGCAGACACTTTTGATACCAGGTCTCCTTGCTCCCAGGGGATCTCATCAGTGTTTCCAAACATTCACTGGTAAAGTGTTCATCATCAGACTTTCCAGATCAGGTGCAAATATGTCATATGACCCCTCATGACCCTGTATTTCTGTGCATGGGTTACAATGTCTCCCTTTACATCTCCCTTTTGCTCTAATTTTATTTATTTGCATTTTCTGTCCTGTTTTCTTGATCAGTCTCACCAAAGTTCTGTCCATTTTATTTATCTTTAAAATTGAAAGCTCTTTTCATTGATATTCTGTAGATTTTATTCTCTGTTTCATTAATGTCCACTTTAGCTTTGCTTTTCCTTCCATCCTGGGACCTGTAGCTTGGTTCCTTCTTGCCTTCTAGCTGGCTGAGCTGGGGCAGCTTTCTGTCCTGAGTCTCTGTGTCCTGAGCAGAGGCCCGGACCACTCTGACCTTCCTGATGCTCTTTGCTCTTTCCTGCAGGTGTTTCTAGGCTGAGCTTCCACTTTGGTCTGCTCCAAGCAACTTCACAGTTGTTGCTCTTTCCTCATTATGGCTTGGGTGTTCCAGTTATGTGCACAACCCTCTACAGAGGTGCACACCCCCCTACAGAGATGCACACTCCCCTACAGAGGTGCACACTCCCTACAAAGGTGCACACCCCCTAGAGAGGTGCACACTCCCCTACAGAGGTGCACACTTCCTACACAGGGACACACTCCCCTACAGCGGTGAACACTTCCTACAGAGGTGCATACTTCTTACAGAAGGGCACACTACTTACAGAGGTGCACACTCCCCTACAGAGGTGCACACTGCCTACAGAGGTGCACACTCCCCTACAGTGGTGTACACTCCCCTACAGAGGTGCACACTTCCCTACAGAGGTGCACACCCCCTACAGGGGTGCACACTCCTCTACAGAGGTGCACACTACCCTACTGAGGTGCACACTCCCATACAGAGGTACACACTACCCTACAGATGTGTACACCCCATACAGAGGTGAACACTCCCCAACAGAGGTGCACACTCCCCTACAGAGGTGCACACTCCTCTACAGAGGCACACCCCTCTACAGAGGTATACACTCCCCTACTGAGGTACACTCCCCTACTGAGGTGCATCGTGTAGACCCCTCCTGGTTTGTATACAATTCACAGTTTCCAACCCAAATGTCCAAGACCTATCTAGAAACGCTGAAGGAAATCCCTAAGCCTGCTCATAATGTAGAGAAATACATGAATTAGAGTGCACTGTGGTGTATGTGAGCTGTCTGACCCTCACAATGAGGCTCTGTGACACACACACCCCACACCCAGGTCCCCTAAAACCAGAGATGTCCATTCCACATGCAGCTGTGTGGCCTGTGGATAGAGGTGGCCTGAGAAAGATCTCAGAGAAAATGGGGCTCCCTTGGCAACAACCCAGGAAGGAGGGTGGTCAGTTCTGCACTGATTGTGGGAGCTTCAGGTCGGCTCTGCCACTGGACTCAAGACCATGACAGCATCCAGTGCCCAGGACCACTCTGACCCCATCTTGATGTGAGGTGACCCTGAGCCTGAGAAGCCCCAGGACACCTGGCTGCTTGGGAGAAGCAGCTTGGAGCCTGCCTGGGTTACCAGGCCCCGTGGCTGCATTGCAGGGTCACAGACAGGGACACCCTGGGATCTGTCTCTGCTCATGGCAGTGCCCAGCCTGTCCTGAGGGTCTGGCTCCAGTCTGGGTGAGGATGAGCAGTTTTTATATCCCAGATTG